TGGTCCTTTTCGAAGCCCGGCTGGGGAGTTGAGACAGCCGAGTGATAGCCTGAGGCCGTTGAGGAGAAGAAATCGGTAGAGTTGATGGAAGAGCCTAGTGGGGTATGCGAATAGAGGTTGGAGAACGCTCCACTCTGGATATGGGACAGTTCTGTAGGGGAGAGCTGGAAGCCGGTGGTGAAGGATGGATGGTCCAAGGCATTGGCAACGTCGTCAACTTGGAAGGGATCCAGGTTCAAATGAGCAGGGTGAGGTGGATGGCTTCCCAGGGTAAAACTGTGACTATGGCCGTGGCCGTGGCTGTGGCCGTTGTTGTGGTCATGACCATGACCATGGCCCTGAGTATGACTTTGGCTTTGACCATGGCTGTGGTGATGGTCAAGAGTGAAGTCAGTCATGCCGGCATCAGGATCTGGATCATGGGAGATGATCAATCCATGTACTGGAGGAACATGAGGAGAAGACTCTGCTGGACGTTTTCGGGCCTGAGGTATCATTATATCAGTCTATGAACCGTAACGTACTCATCGCAGTAAACCTGACAAAGAAGAAATGAAAAAAATAAAAGGAAAAACATACGATTCGTTCGTCAACGCTGGTCTTCCTGACTCTGCGCTGGACATAGCCGAACTCACTGGTCTGAGTCCCGACATGCGGATGATGAGGAAACGAGGCAGGCATGACGATGCCCATGGGAGAGTCCTCTTGCTCCTCCTTTGCATTCCTGATAGGAATTGCCGACGCCACGGCATGCTGGGAGGAAGGGTCTTCACTCATCAAGGGAGAGAAGCCCGTCGGCGAGCTGATGGAGGACGACGGAGCCACGAACGAGTCGACGTTCATGGGCTCAGCAGCGGAAGCTGGCTCCTGCGGTCGTTGGGCTTCCTCGCTCTGCTGTCCCAGCCTGTCGCCCAGTCAGTCATCACAATTTTTTTTTTTTTTTTAAAAAAATATATATATATATTTTAAAAGTAGGAGAAAATGGAGAATAAAAAATAAAATAAAATCAAACGTACCTGGCCTGGGCCTGCTCTCGCTCCTTTTCCTTTCGCAGACTGACGGCCATCATGCGCCAGGTCAAGTTCTCCATCCGCTCCTGGTTCGGCAACTGGGTCTTGGTCCGGCTGTACAACTTCCATATCTGCGTCGCTAACGGGTCGTTCTTCTGCAGCTCCTCGGTGTTTTCCAGCGCAGTGCCATCTCTCCAGTCCGAGAATACCGACTCGCGGAGCAACCCCCCGCGAGTGACGCTGTCCGGCAGCTTCCGCTCCAGCTTGTCGTGGGCTAACGGGGGGAGAGGAGAGGAGAGGAGGGGAAACAGGGACCAAAGGGAGGCGCCTCTGCGGTGCCTCTTGTCTCTGCGTCTGTCTCTGGCTCTTGTCTCTGCCTCTGGCCGGGCGGGACTGTGTGTGCGAGCGGCCTTGTTGTCACTCTGGGTACTCGCTCGCTCGCCGCTGGTCACTCAAACGCAGCGCAGCCAACGGCCCGGTGGAATCGCCAGAATCCGGCTGCAGCAGAGAGGAAGGCCGGGCAGCTGGGCGTTTCAAGACGGAGTGTCGCTGTCGCTGTCGAGGGGGGAAGAATCGAGTTCTGCTGGCGAGCTGGAAAGACGGTATGCCGTCGTCGTATCACTCTCGCTATCAGGAGGACAGACAGGGCCGTGGGCGAAGAGGGAACTGCGTATATCTCGGAGGCAGCGCCAGTCCACGGAGCCAACGCTGAGAGTGGTCGCAAGAGGCAGTGAGTTCCTGAGCTGTCTCGATCTCTGATCCGACGGTGGTTTTGTTTGCTCTGGTTCTCGCTGGGTCTTGTCTGGCTGGCTGGCTGGCTGGCTGGCTGGCTCGTCCGTCGATTCTGAGTCTTCAGAGACTAACTTTGGCGGACCAAGTGGGAGTTTTTTGCCCACAACATGTGATTTCGGCTCGTAGGGCGAAGAGACGGCAGTGAGAGAGAGACAGACAGAGAGTAAGAGAGAGAGAGAGAGTGAGTGATAAGTAATATAAAATTAGCCAGCGACCAGGTAATATTTGAAGAGGCCAAGTAGGAGCGTCGATGGAGCCCGTCGAGGTCCTCTTTTTCTCTTGTCCTTCTTCTTCATGCAGGCCCTGCAGCGGCAGTTGGCTAGCGAGAGTGACGATGCCAGTTAAGCTCCTCGACTAGCAGCAGCCAGCTCTGAGTATCTGGCCGGTTCTTACTACTACTACTACTATTATGTGTATGTGTCTCTCTCTCTCTTTGCTCTCTCTCTCTCTCTCCGTCTTTTCCCTCTCTTTCGCCTTCTGCCGCGTCTCTGCTGTGGGACCCAAAGGAAGGCCGGGACATGGGCAGTAACTCAAGAAGAATAGTAGTGGCTTTTCATCTCGCCGCCGTCCGTCTCTCGAGAGGCCAGGCAGACTCCTACTCTGCTTCACGCCTTTTCTATCGTCTTTCGATGCTATTGTCGATGCTATCGTCGTCGTCTCTAATATCAACAATATTCAACTTCCTCGCCGGCCTTTTTTTCTTCTGCATATCAAAAATTGGTCAAAAATACGAGAAGCCGGTAATGTAACTTTCATGACAGTACATTACAAGCTTAGTCATCAGAGCCTCTTTTCTCTTCACCAAAACTTCGTCTTCTTCGTCTTCTTCTTCTCTTCTCTGGTTCTTCCTTTCGGCTTCTCTCTTTAGTCTAATCCGGGCGGAAACCAAGGAACAGAGGGACCCAGAAAATAAGAAGAGACCAAGGCAGACAAGAAGTGCGGCCTGTTGGGACAGGCTCATGGCCTCTCGCGGTTCAAGGCAGGGATGAGGCTTGAAAGGTCGAAGGCACATCATCTCTGGAGTATTCAGCTTCTTCTTCTCAGAGCGCATCCGTCAGTGCATGCTTAGTGACTTCTTGACCGAGCTAGAAGCTAACGCACGAGATGCATGCAACAAGTGAGTGTGCTTACGCTTAAACATGTCCTCTGGTTAATAGTAATGCAGCCCTTCTTATCCCCTGGGGTGAAACATCTGCATGTAAGGGCCCCCCCATCGCCAAGTGTCCATACAGGTCCTCGATCTCTTCACGGCGCCTCTCCATCGCATGGGTCCCTCCGAGTCTATAAGATGTCATCGGCTCGGCTGGCTTCCAGACGGCGGTCCAGAGCCCCTAACAAAAATAAAGGTCGTGGGACGGACGGACGGACGGACGGACGGACGGAGTGCGGAGAAGGCCTCACTCTCTCACTCTTTCTTTCTCTCTCTTTATTAGGAGCTGTGACGGATGATCTCTCTGCGCGCACACCTACGGAGTACCTTCTACCGTCGACTGCTGCTCTGTTTTCCCAACAAGAGAGGTCACGAGAGGCAGATATGTTTCAATCTCAACCAGCAGCTTGTTTGCCTGCCACTTGCTTGTCGGGATCGATCACTCTTGGCCCCCCTCCCTCCGTTCTTCTGCATGCTTGGTTTCGATGCTAGCGTAGCTGAAACAGGCCTTGGTGCTGGTTCTCATGGCGGGTACACCAGAATATAACAACTATAGCCACACAGAGCCAACGGTGGTGTGACAGACTGCTCAAGGATAAAGCTGACATGTCTCTCTTGGCCGGCAGGCTGAGAGCTGGTCAAGCTTTCCTCCCCTCCTCCCCTTCCAGCCGTTGGGCTAGTTAGTTAACTAGTTATATAAGTTGGCAAAACGGACATAATGCCAAATCCAAATCCTTGGGGCGAAGAGTGCTCCAGGTACTACTACACTCCCTCGCCCTTACCTACAGAAGTACTCCGTACTTCCATGACCCTTGGTGGGTGTGTTGGCCACGACGGTCTTTGGCCGACTCTCAGCTTCACCGCCGTTCGTCGCATGCGATATCGGCAGGTAACTACACCATGAACAACCCTTCCCCCCCCAGTTCTGCCCTTTTGACGATGCCGTCACGAGAGATCCCAGCTTCGGTTCGGGATGGGTCCTCCTCTCCTCTGTGCCTGTGTGCCCGCGTCCGTCTCGTCTTCCCTTTGGTGGCCGTCACTAGCGTTGCAGCTGGTCCGCTCCGTTAGGTACGTAGTCCAAATCTAATCAATCGCTCTTGGGACCGGGAGATTTAGGAAAGCCGTGGGTTCGTCATTACCATACGATACAGACAGCCCGTATTTCTGGCCCAACCTCGGCCCTTTTTCTCGTCTCTTCTTCGTCTTTCCTTCCTTCGGCTCTATCAAACTTCAACCTTCATCCTTCTACTCTACGGAAGCAGTTAAGCTAACGGGAGAACAAAGACCAACTTCCGCCCCCGACTGTGCATAGGGATATCTCTACAAAGACATGTAAATCCCGCACTGCCTCTCGTGATGATGTTTGTTGGTCTTCCGCTCTTGGTTAGATCCGCCGGACTGCCGGGCTGCACTCTACCAGGCAGAGCCGAGTGCGATATCCAATGATATGATATCCAAAGGCCAGTCAAAGGCCAGTAGTTACTCGTCTGCACTTGAGGCCGTTCTATTTTGGCTCTAACCAAGAATCAAACCTATAATGCTTATTGTGTCTTTGAAGGCACGGCGATACCCAATAAAGCGTTAACAAAGGAGTGTCAAACGGCTAAGCCAAAAAGAAGAGCCCCCTAATTGGTAGCAGAGGAAGAGAGTAGATTTATCTGACATAAAGATATTAGATATCACTGTGGCAAACCAAGTTAGAGATAGTCAATTAAGAGCTATATCCATGAAGTTGCATACGGCAGTCTAGGAACGGGGGCCTCCCGGATACTGCTCTGTTACCTCTCTCTTACCCTCCACCCTCCACCCACCCAGAATGAATCATATACGTTGCATCTAATGAACACATCCCGTTCATTTTTTTTCTTTTTCTAATTTTTTTTTCTCGCAAGCGTGAGGCTTCAGAGTGGCCCAGCAGCGATGTCATGCCCTTTGATTCCCTCCCCCAATTTTATAAACTCCATTATTAGTCTTCTCCAAATCCGACCTTTTACTGTTTCCCCGTTAACATCTCCTCCATTCCGTATTTTAGCATATAGTGGTCTCTAGGGTGAAAACAACACCGCAACTCCTACCTTCCTTCCCAACTCCGGAAGCTGGGCTTGCAGGCTTGAAATTGGATGACTTTGTGAGCCTTTCACACAAGTCACATAGCCCTCGTCTATGCCTTTCAATTAAACAGCTATACTCTCTGTTTCAAATCGATGGACTCCTTTTTGGCTCAGCAGTTTGACAACTGGATGCACGGCACAGCCGACTATATTCCGGCCATAAACTCCCCCTCCTCTCATTTCCTTGTTCTCTGAGGCGCCGCAAATATGCAATAGTGTCCCAGCGATGACAATAGAGCGACACCCGCAGGTTCCATGGTTCCTGTAAGGAAGTACAAAGCCATGCTTAAACTCCCTCTCGGCCATACTCGGTCCAAAGTCCCATATGGGTAATTCTTTTTTTGGAACCACTTCAACGTCTAAGCAGACATTGGAATATGGAAGTATACTCATGTGTACGTCGAAGTTGCTGGACGTCGCAGTAGCCCCGATAATCGACATTCCTAGGACCTGCTCTTGGTTACTTAGTGATTCGTATTTGAAGATATCTCTACGTCGTCAAATACCCCGGCAAGACGAGCTTCGCATGCTGCTCCATGGTTTCTCAGATCCTGTCTGAAGATCCCTGTGCATTATTGTTATCAAAAACTTAGCAATGAGAATCTTCAGTACAATATGGACTCATGGAGTGTACGACTAGGCTGATAAGTGGTGGTAGAGAAAGGGGCCAACGGAAAGAGAGCCTTTGTGCCTGCGACTCTGCAGCTCCATCATGGAGGAGCCAACATGCCAGGGTTGATGTATGGATACCATCCTCTGTTTGTTTACTTTACGGTTACTCCTTCCTATAACGCAGTCTTCGGGAGCTCTTTCCCTCCTAAGAACATTGTTTACATTTATTGTTTACATTCACCAGGGCAGCTACGAAGAAGTAGCTATCAGGAAAGTAACACCGACGATGTTTACCCTAGCATCAGGACTTCGTCGACTATTATCTGTCTCATTCCTTTTACATATCAACTAAACTGCCTTTAATATCCTTGGGATGAGGTATTCACACCGCAACGTGCTTATAAAAGTCGTATCATCTTAATAGTGGTGTCTTCGTGACCTGACTCCTCTCGGGAGTTGGATATGAAAAGTGCCTGCCAGAAAACTAGGTCATCCCTTTCAAGAAAAGAACTAAGGTTTATTATTAACATTGTGTATGCTATGAATATCATCTCAATCTATGGCTTGTTTACGAATATCTAGATATTCGTGGAATGTTTCTTTTACGTAAAAGATTGGAAGAACAGATAAAAATAGCAGCTATTAGATGTCCAGATGGATAGGGATATAGGCAGATAAAAGTCAAATAAAAACAACCCCAACTCCACCTGGTTATACTCGCAATCTTTCAGCCTTCGGCCACGAAAATATCACAGATAGATATTTCATCCTGGCCTGGCAATGAGACGAGGCTGTCCGTCCCACCGAAGTACTATTCATGTGTGGTTTCTAGACACTTGGTACGAGGTTCACTTGACGAATTCGTGGAGTCCCATTTCATCAAGGGCTAGCATGTACTCCGTGCAGGAGGACGATCGGGAGATACGGAGGACAGATGACCTGCATAGTACATGGAAGCTATAAGCAGAGAAAATGCGAACAGTATCCGTATTTCATCGTCATATTTCACTTTACCGCATCATGGGTGCCGTGTGCCATTTCGCCCCATGCACCAGGTTGATGGTAGTTAGTTGTAGAAGTATGGGCGAAGCTAGGAATCCTTCCTCCACGATGACGGAGTTGCCGAACCCAGATTCCATTCCATGCCATTACCCCTGTTGTGCACTCACAGACACAGATGCTCCCCAGCCATCGACTTGTTGAGTACGGAGCATGTGTACTTCATGGCGCGAGAGGGTGTACGAGGTAGAGTGGCGTGAATGTCTAGTTTTGAAATGATAAAAACAAATCTAGCTGAGATGAGGGGAGACCAACCAATAGAGAAGAGCGATACAACTGCACCCCTGCTCAAACCAGATGTTTATATGAAGAGATAGGGGATTAACGCGAGAGAGAGAGAGAATATATATAGATATTGCGTCGGAGCAGCCCCTTAGCGTGATACGTGAGTGTTCCGCTCCACAGCCCGATATGCTTGGGAGCGTGAATGCTCATAAGAAGAATTGCGCTTGCGGAGAGAGATAGCCCGATCTCGCAAAAAGTGTGCGCAACTAGACTCTGGAAAAAAGTAGTTAGCTATATTGTCCGGCGTGCAAAAGTAAGGTTTTCTACCCTTCCCGAAGGCAATGAAATCGAAGCACGTTATTTAGTAAACATCCTGCATATATTGCACAACATACGGAGTAAATACTTGCATTTCGTCCATCTGGAATGCCAAACCCAATGGGATATTTGTTTCTGATTGGAGTGTTCCATCAGCAGCAAGCTTGCATAAAAAGAAAGAATATGCAAGAGAAATGGATACATGAGCAAGATGCAGCCACAGGAAGGCATGCGTTGGTCATGTCTGTAAGCAAAAAAAAAAAGTTTATTACAACTAGGGAAGAAATCAGACCCTGTAGGAATGTGTTGACCATCCATCCCTAGGCCAAAAGAGAATTGGCGGAAAAATGATTACAAACCGTTGGCCGGAAACTATTTTGGTTTCAACTTGCTCTTGAAAAGCTCTTTGGTGCTTGTCACATGAAGTGAGGCGAGAAGAGAAAAGAAAATATATGATACTTCCAGAAGAGAAGTATCATAAAAGAAAAATATGACCAAACAAGCCTTGTTGAGAGAATGGGGTATCATCTGTGCATACTCCGTACACCCTGGGCGTATCCAAGCAAGAGATAAACCATTTTGCGCTCCATATTTCAAATCATCACACAAAGGGCATACATCCTTTGCCTTCACTGGGAGGCCTTTGCATATCTTAGGCATCAAGTTCCATGCTGATCTTGAAATTAGGCGGGATTATGTCAGCCCAATAGTGGCCAGCTTCGCGCAGCATGGCTTCCTATTTGGCGTTTTGAGCAATGGAAAATGAAGTTGAGTTTTGCTTCTTCATCATCATCCACTCCTGCTGGCAACAGAAGCTGCGTTTTACCCTTTAGACATACTTTCTTTTTATGCTTCATGTGTCGCTGGAAAGGAGTCTGAGCGCAGCATGTTAGAGCGAACTCAACTCTTCTTTTGGCATCGACTAACATGAGGACCGTGAACTTCTGGACCTGGAGATGTTGAGCATATCCAATCATACGTCGCCAATTACATCCATTTCATCGGATGACTTGACTTGGCTGTGGGGGTTTTGGTTTTCAAAAAAGCAAGAAGGGGAAGTTCTTCTTTTGGTATGCATCCGTCAGGAAGAATACAAGACTTCTGCTGCAGCGTCCTTAATCTTGAAATTGCAGAGGGGGGTATTTGAGGGCCAAACAACTCGTTTCTTCCTACACCTGAGAATCTCGAGGCATGGACTGTTCGTTCATCCTCCGCATATCCTGTGGCATCGGTTGCTTTAAATCGGAAACGCTCTCTATGGAGCCGTGGCGTGCAGAAGTGCATGAACAGAACCAGAGCAGTGGGAGTAATGACCAAGCTGGCTGATCAATCTCCGGTTAGGACTCGTGGCTGGTTTAAGTAAGGAAACAAAAGAGGGGAAAATAAAAGAAAAAATGGAAAAAAGAAGCAAAAAGCAAAAGAAAAAGAAAAGGCGTTGGGTTTTGGCTGGGTTTGAACAGCGCAGGAAATGCTTCAAATACATAAAATAAAATACCTAGGAGAGGATTTACCTAACCGGCGACTGTCCCCAACCTTAACGATAAAATATTAAGCACAGTTATCTAAGGGGTTGCTCCTAAGTAAGGAGGCCCTCCCCCATCGAGGTCGTAGCCAACGTGGTATTTTGTTTCCCTTCCTCTTTAGCGTAACCCTTAATTTACCATCCAGTTCATTCAGGTGGTGTGAATAATGAAGCAAAAATAGGAGTTTGGCATCGTTGAACAGGGACCCATCCCCCTGCAACTCAGGAAATTAGGCTGTCGTAAGCTTGTCCGATCCACCCATGGAGACTTTGTGGAATATATTCTCAAGCAAAAGTTGACCGCATGCGCCATTTTTTTTTTTTTTTTCTACTTTTATTTGTCGCCTACATGGACGCTCCTTTCTTTCCACTATTGAAGGTGTTTTGCTCATGCCTTGGGCGTCTCTTTTCGAAGCGGTGCTCAGAGGACTAGGAAGATTCATTGTAAATGCTGCAAGCAGGTCGATTTCGTGACACAGGACGCTCGCTTCGGCGAAGTGTCTCCTGGGTTGAGGACAAGTTCCGTTCTGCGAGATGCATGTAAATATAAACACATGCTATACGCAAGGGATCCATATCCATAACTAGTAGATTATGCATATAACTTATACTACTCCGTATGCGGAGGGGCCCAGAGCTTGAAGATAAAGTTATTCCAGCAACGTCGGTAAATCTCTCAGTCCCCAGAACCACCATCGCTTGTCTTGACGGTGGAAATTCCTCAAAAGGAGAGATAATAGGAGCTGGCAAGGAATAACTAGGCCAAGGGATTGTCGATTGACTTGTTGCACACTTCCGTCCACATATATTTTGGAATTGCGGCCATAACATCAGCCAGGACAATAAGCAATTTCCTTCAAAGGCTTAGAACCGTCCAAGAGTGGAAGCTGTTTACGACAAAAAAAAAAAGAAGCGTAACTTACCTAGACAGATAAAATATCGATAAAAAATAATATGGAACGTTATCGTGCGTTTATCTTGCGTCGCACACAGAGTATGCTTGGACGTACAGGTGGAGTGGTGGATAAGCCCATGGGCTTGAATAATATCTAATTGATGTTCGGTCCACCTGCGTGCGTCCATAGCAGCCAACCAGCTTTCACTTATACCAGCCTGCACTTATAACACTTTTGGTCGAGATCCGATGTGGACGACTGCTCAAGTAAAGATACCAGACAACCCGCCCTGGCGTTGAAAAAGAAAAGAAGCAAGGAGGTTCATGCATCTTTTCTTCGAGCTTTGACTTGCTGACCTGATGGAGTGAATTCGTTATTATTGAACAATGTGCTCCTTGGGAAAAGGAGCGAATCTCCAAGTCGCACTGCAACAGAGAACGGAGGACACATCCATTATCGTGTTTTTTCTCCGAGTTAATCTTAACCTCTGATCGGACTTTGCTGCCGTTTGGCTTCAAAGTATGCGCTTCTGATAGTCACTCGCAGGTTGATTAACGGAGAGATGACCCGATCAAGCATCCATTTCTTTTGTGCGTTCTCTCCCTTGTCATTGGACAGGAGAGGGGGCTCGCGCCGTCCTCCGTACAACCGACGATGGGCCCTAGCAGGGATAGATGTTGGTGTTCTTTCTCATTGTTGGTCCTTGGCATAATTATGAGTGAGCGACCACTCCTTACACTTTTGATGGCCGATTGTTTTATATGTATATCAAATTATACGCATGCGCTCCGTACACACATATATCGGTGTACGCCGTAAACAAAATTTTCAATGACAGGTTGAGCGCATGCAAACCGAAGATAGATGAGCGAGAGCTGGTCCCTTCACTCTGAAGGATTTGATTCCAGGCAACTTTTTTTTGTCTATAATTGTCGATGGTCCATCGACATCGACATCCAGCTTATAGACTTTCGTGTATGCGAGTGCCTGTCTGCTGGACGTATCCCCTTGACGTTTCAACATGGGAAGGAGAAGCACCACTGTTCTGCCTTGCGTGCGTCCGGACTGTGCAAGGTGACTTGAATTTCTCGTTTCTTTTTCTTTTGCTTTCTCCCTCCATGTCCCTCTTTCTGAGTGCATGCGTGCCATTCCTTTCTTCCCCTCTTGGTCTCTGTTGCTTTTCGGGCTTCTACCCCCTCGGGGAGCACTCCGGTTGCATGGGATGCCATGTGTGAGCGCGCTGCAAATGTTGGTGGAGGTGGAGTCAGGCTTTCTTCCTGTCAAGATAGGCTTCGGAGTATTTCTTAGAGTTGCACTGCATTTGCAAAGTTTCGCTGCTGGAAAAAGGAATATACTTATATCAAGAGGGAAAAAGAAATACCTACAGCCAAACAGCAAGAGACAGGTATGGCTGACCTCGAGCGAAAAGCAAAGTCATGGAGGGCAAACCAGGTCGCCACTATCTGCCAGCTGTATCTCCACTGCTGTGCTGCTGCTGCTGCTGCTGCTGCTGCTGACGATGATGATGTTGTTGTTGTGGTTTTTGTCGTCGTAGAGGCGGAGTGGATGTCTTTTGGCTGTCTTCGTCCGAGTTGGGAGGAGAAAGCCGCCGCACTACGCGTGTTATTAATGACTAAGCAAAACAGCCAGAGTTTGCACTATGCTGACTCAGCACGAGCTAAAAGCGGCGCAGACCAACCAACCTCAAACGCTCTAACCGCTTTTGGTAATCCCCCTTTGGCTTTTTTTTTTTTTTGAGTTTTTGTTTTTTGACACTTTTTTTATACGATCGAACGTCTTTCCATCTCGCACGCCAACACACGATGGGCATTGTGATCGCGTTGCTTGTGATATATACTCCGTACATGATGATCAGTAACCTATTTATGGCACCGTACCTAGGTCCGGGTATCTCATCAAGCCTGTGGTGCCACCAAACCCAAAGAAGCAGCTCTCTTCCAGCTAGCTTGCCATAGCGGAGGGGGGTATATACGGAGACAGACTCAAATGCATAACCACATGTACTTGCTGCGTAAGTACGTGCGGAGTCCTTCGGACATGTTTTCAGCTCTTCTTCTGCCTGCATTTCTCCTTTTTTTTTTCTTGCTTTCGGGGGCGTTAAGGATCATGGCTGACAGGGTAATATCATAGCTTATTGGCTGTAGGCCCCTTTAGGGGCGACTTTGGCATCAACCAACCGGTGAGCACGCGCCTGTCTCTGACCAGACGTCGGTAAATACGACTAAAACCTCGAAACAAGCGGCCAGGGGGACCGTTTTGTGAGAGAAATCTTGGCACCAGGCGTAATCTCTGTTGGAGATGCGTTTCAGGTTGCCTTTTAGACTCGCACCAACGCACGAAGCAAGCCATCCGGTTGAAGGAGCCATGTTAATCCGTGGGTTAATGATGACCGATCGACTAACGAGGTCTCCTGCCTCCCATAAACCATCAAACGAGCAATTTCAATTGGCTTTTATAAAAAAAGGGGGGATAAAAAATAGACCTTTCCTTCATTTTATTCATCCACGCAGCGTTCCCTGCTTGACCGAAGGACCTCCACGCAAATCCACACTGTTTCATCTAGGCCCTTGAGGCAGCACCTTTGGCTTTTGAGTGTTATTCCCCGCAGAGAGAAAGCCGGACCCTTGAACTGTTTGGGAGATGGTGAATTATTGATAACACAACTAACAAACACTCTAGTACGTTCCCTCCTTGCCTGAGCGGTGGAGGAACCGAGGCTCGATTTCATCTCTTTGAAATTAGCACACAACACCAAGAAAATGCCTGCCCTCGATGAAAGGGGCAAAACGGTCAAAACTTGCAAAGGGACTAAGCTCTCTCTACTACTGACTGGTGCGGGTAACGGTTTTTTTGGCTATAGGTCTTTTTTTAGGTCTCGAAAATGAAAGCATAAACCTTCAATTGCCAAGGAGGCTTGAAGAGTTGGTACCCCTTCTCCGTTCTCTGTACGGAGCACACAGATATACGTTAGGACTCCTTGCACTGTCTTTCGACCCCAAAATCTCCACTTTAATACTTTGAAATAGTTGACGACACCTGTGCATTACCTAACTGCCTATATTTGACGCTGATCAGCCCCGAGTTCCAGATGGCTAGAACCCCCCCTGAGGCGACCCTTGAACAACAGCCATTCGTTTGATCGACTACTCCATATCGTCAGCACCAATGATATTTATTTCCTCATATACTTCTAGCTCTTTTTTCGTGGCGTTACTTGCCCTCTTTTTATTTTTTATTTATTTATTTTTTTTTTACTTCGGGCCTCTATCTCTATTAAGTCCTTCCTTTTTTTTTTTTCAAAAAGGAATTTACTAACACTTGATATTTTAGCCAACCCTTTTGGCTACAACTGTGGAGAGTGGTAACTCTCATTCCTACCCATGGAAGCAGCAGTAGCCTAATCTTGTTCCTAGTCCCCATCTTTGACAAGCTTGCCCATTGACCAGTCCGCAGTACCTGTTTGCATTCCCATTCGATCAAAGCAATTTGCTTTTTTCCCAATTCTCCTTCCCAGTGCTTGACACATCTTGAGAGAGGGAAAAAAAGGAAAAAGTCTTGGGACGTTTCACCCCACGATTTAGCCTGGTTCATTTCGTGTCCTAATTGCGGGCCGGGGGTAGTGTTTATCAAATATCCCCTTCGCTTGGTTTTATTTTTTTCCTCCTTTCGCAAAAGCGCCCTCTCAAGTAGCTTCCCTTCTCGATTGCCTTTTAACATCTTTCTCCCTCTTTCTTTTGTTATGGATATTGTGTTCGTATTGCACCATTCCTCGTTTGGATTGTTCCTGGACTTGTTTTTATACCCCCCTTCCACCCACAGTGGCGGTTATATCTGAAGTATATATATGTATATATATAATCTTGATATATATTTTACGATCCCTTCCAGAATATATAGTATCCCCTCCCTTGGAACCACACCTGCCGCGGGGAAAGGACGCCTAGCTTTCTTTTTGGCTGTTTGACTATATATTTCATCCCCCCTTCTCCCTCCCATGGCCATCCTTTAAGCTCACTCTCCGGCGGGTCATCTACACAGCACACCTCAAAATACCACTCATCTGCTTGTCCATTTAGTGCTGAACTCTGTCGGGGATGACTTGAGCCCGTGATAACTCCAACTCCTTGTCGCATGGGGATAAAATTGCCGATCGTCGCCTCTTCGCCGCTCCTCCCTATATCATACATCGCCGGCGCAAAGGCGAGCATATTAGCAGATTCTACAGTCAAAGAGCCAGAACCAGAGTCACTGCGTGTCGATTTGCCCTTGAGAAACGGTGTCTAGTCCACTACCCGCCTGTGGAAGCGATGCGCGAGGTCACATATCGGGCCGTAAGTCAAGGAATATTTAAAGGCCTTGGCCATGGAAAACTCGACAGGATCGGCCGCAGATAAAAAACGGAACAAGCTGGGATATCACAGAACATCTGTTGCTTGTGGTAAGCATCCCGAAATTCTCTTATCAGCTTCTCCAGTCCACAGGAATTCAGCAGGGTGGATTTGATGTGTATTGCCATGCGAGGCGCATTGAAATTCGACCCTACCTCCTTTACAACCTTCCAATTCGTTCTGTTGGCGAGCTTGCAGGAGTTTGAGCATTAGATTAACGAATGAACTTCTTTTCTATAGTACATTGTCGAAGGAGGAAAATACGGTGCCTGCTTGCACCCGACGACACCCAGGGCCGGTGTGAAAACTGTATCCGGCTGAAGAAAGAATGTCATTTCTACCCAGTGGACCAACAGCCAGCAGTAGACAAGAGAGGGCGCCCCATATCGAAACCTGAGACTGCGGGATCTGATGCATCCCTAACCACTACACCTCCTCTGCTGGGCAGTGGAGCAGTGATGGAGCAGAAAGAGTCTTATTTTCCATACCCGAACATGGGGATCTCTTCAGGTCAAGATATATCGGCCTATAATTCTGGCGCCTACCCTGGAACGCCCGTGGCAACATATACACCAGGTTCGTTCCGCCACATTTGGAAAACCGCACCGTCAGATATTGAGGGATGCGGAAATAAAAAGGGAAATATCATAACTAAAGAGCATGTTGTTTAGATCCGTTAGCTGCACCCGAGCTGGGTGCGATACCAAACGCAGCACAAGCCGTCCCAACATGGAACGAACCCATCTACGAGCCCCAGGTATCTGGAATGGTTTTGAGGCCTTCTCCTGGGGCGGTGGTACCGCCAGGTGCCATGCCCCATCCATCAACTGGTCCAATGACAGTGACGCCAGACGCTACCGGTATACCTCCAGTCAACATGTCCACTGCTGGATTTGGTGCCTCTCCTCATGATAGCACAGCATGGGGCAGTCAGATATCGAGGTCTATGAGTTTATCCGCGAGACCGGGAGTGCCGTCACCCATACCACAAGCATATCCTAGCCAGTACCACCCATCACCACCGATCAACCCGGAATTTAAACGTCGAATGACCACACCGGCCGAATCTTACTCCAGTCTAGGGCATGTCCCTAGCGTACCCCAGCTCCCATCTACGCCTGTACCTGTATCATATGATGAAGCCCAGATACCGTTCACCACCTACAACATACCTGGATCCATTTCTGGACAGGTAATAGTTGGCTCTGCCGCAGATCCAATGTCCCTTTCAGAGTGGTATTCTCCTGATTCGCTACAAGCACATCAGCAAGGCTTTATTCCTGACCAACAAAACTTGATGCATCGACCACCAGGCTAGTTATACCATCCTCAGACCTTTATACCTGCATTATCTTTCGACGGCCTTAAAATACTCCATAAATACCCATGAAAAATGGTGCCATGATTATCTTTCTCTTTTCTTCCACCTTCACCGCAATTGGGAAAGCAATCCAAGGATACTCCCTGTTTCCAATTCTAAGTAGCCGTGTAAATTCCCAGACCGGCTTTCATGCTCTCTCTTTTTACTCCTCGCTCTAGGAACGGCATCTCAACCAAAGGATCATTCTCATGGCCCACCCTGCGTGGAATCTACTCATTTGCTGGCGTACATTATAAGAAGGGCATCGTGTTTCTTTTCTTCTCCCCCATTAAGAGCCAATCAACATCGTGGTATATATTTTAAATCCCGATTGCACTTTCTGCTGCCATCCATCTCCCGGTGACTCTCGGTCTCACTTTCTACTCTGGCCTTGCTATTGCAAAGAAAAAAAGAGAGGGAAAAAAAAAAAAATTAAAAAAAAAAAAAAAAAAAAAAAAAAAAAAAAAAAAAAAAAAAGGGAAAAAGAAAAAGAAAAACAATAAATAACCAAATCTCGGTTAACATTGTCTTCATTTGGCCCCGTTCATATCCAAAACATTTATGGGTTTACTTTCTCTTCGTTGTGCATATCTTCTACCTCCCCTACCTATCAACCGAGTAAACTCCCTGCAACTACATGCATTTGGTACCAGGCTCGGGTCTATTTCCCTAACTCTACATTTCTCTTCTAACGTCCATTTTGGGTCTCTTTATGTGCCTCTCTTATCTTCCCATTTTTTTTTTTTTTTTCGCACTATTTAATATTCTATTCAATTTTCCGTTTACATGTCCATGGACTGGCTATATTTGAATGTGGGCTCTGAGAGCAGCCACACGGGGTTACTCATTTAAAACGGAAAGGGAGGGTTTATCATTTTCATCTTATAAAACAAGGGCTTCTAGTGTCTTTTCCGTTTTTCTTTGCTCTCTCTTTTTTCCTTTTAGTAATTCTTTACTATATACCATATTTAGCTGATAACCGTTGGTCAGGAGGCTATTTTGTCAATATCGTTCTTACATGGAGACATGACATTACATATCTATATCTACATTGAGCCTTCCATCTCATTTTTACTGCATCCTTTCACCAGTTCTTGGAGAAATGCAATGTCTCTCTGGTGTGTCAAAAAGTCCTCATGGCCCTGGCTGTGCTGGTACAAACAATTGCAAAGGCTCAACCGTCCACATCGAACGTCAACGACCACCGTCTAACTCTCAAATCTCAACTCTCAGCACTTTGTCGTCTCCGCTTCCGCACTACTGCGGAACAAGAAGGCCCATTAACGCCATGGGTTGCTCGTATTTGTCCTTAGTTTTGCTGCATCGACACTAATAGCGTCCCTCTGGCTGCGGCACGAAGAGGTATGAGCTCACCCTCATGAGACGACATGACGGCGTGGTTGGACGGGCAAGATGATCTATCACCATCCACCATCTGTTAACTAGCTGTTAGCTATCGATCCCACCTTGCAGCCATGCAAAAGCATGTCAATTGCTGCAGAACAGCGCGCCAGCTATGACGGAATAGCCTCCGCCGAGGAATCGGAACTAGTTAAATAAGCAGCGGCCAAAAACCCCACCAAAGCCTGCTGTTCCCCCTCGCTCGAACTAGTGACAATAACACGAACTATATAACGTCCACAGCAATTCCCACCGGGACAACAAACCATCACCACGACTGCCATCCTTCATTCTTTAGCTTCTCTCTTTTCTCGACTGTCCCAAAGTCCTCAGTCAGCCACCATGGCCACCTATAGCAAGGCTTGCTGCACGTAAGTGTCTCTCTCCTGACGCCGAGGCACGGTTGCGGGGGATTCTAACCCGATTGTGCGAGAAGACTGCCCCCAGTGGTTGACGCTGCCTATGAGCCCAAGGGCAAATATGAGACTATCTGTGGCATGAAAACCTGTAAGTTGATCTATATTGGACTGTTTTATGAGACCGCTAAGCTGACTGCCTGCTCCTAGACGTCACTGGGCCGGAAACCGCCACGGAAGCCATCCTAGTTGTATACGGTGAGTTGGCTGGATACACCCGCTGAATATATCTCGAGACGCATCAATCTGACTATTGGATAAAGATATCTTCGGATTCTTCCCCCAGACCCTCCAAGGAGCGGACATCATGTCTACCTCCGACGCAGAGCGCAAATACCGAGTCTTCATGCCCGATTTCTTCGACGGAAGTCCCGCTGATATCGCCTGGTATCCCCCAGACACTGACGAGAAGAAGGAGAAATGGGGTGCCTTCTTCAAGGACAGAGCTCCCCCACCAAACACCCTTCCTCGCGTCCCCCGGGTTGTCGAGGAGATCAACAAGAACTTCTGCCCCGGTGGCGCTGGTTTCAAGTCATGGGGTATTGTAGGGTACTGCTGGGGAGGAAAGATTACCTCTCTCCTCTCTGCCAAGGACACTCTCTTCAAGGCTGCTGTCCAGGTTCATCCTGCCATGATTGATCCCAAGGAAGCCCTGGAGGTTACTATCCCCATGTGCATCCTCGCTTCAATGGACGAAGATCCAAATGAGATTGAGAAGTATAAGGACAACCTCAAGGTTGAGAAGTTAGTCGAGACCTATGGTGACCAAATCCACGGCTGGATGTCTGCTCGAGGCGATTTGAAGAACCCCACTGTTAAGAAGGAGTATGAGAATGGGTACAAGTCGGTTATTGCCTTCTTCAGGGCGCATTTGTGAGAGATCAATCCTCATACCTTTCAATGTATATGTCTTCGGTGGCATACTCCTCTTTCTGCAAAAAGTATCGATGAATGATATCTTTATGAGAATGGATTGACCGTCATTCATTGCACGCCATAAACCATGTCTAGGACCTCTTAAAAAAATAAATAAATAAATAAATATATGAATAAATAAATATATAAATAAGTAAACAAAATATGATGCATATCCTTCAATTGTATCACCTCTTCAGGCCGGATTAAACAAATGCAACGAATATACAATTGCAAAACGAAATCCAAAATTGTACATTATTGTTATAGTTATCCTTTTCCGTCTTCCTTACCTTGCATATAGTTATCGCCTACCAAAGCGCCAACCTTACACCACGTAAATACTCCGTACACGCCATCGTAGCCACACTTGCCTAGCCACCGCTTAGTTGTTACTTGGTCACACTCGCCACACTAGCAACACGGATGACCACGTTAACATCAACCGCTCTCGCTTCTCGAATACTACATGCTAAACAAGTCCGTCCAACTCTGGAAATTACCGCATCTGTACAGACGGCCGTACACCAGGCTCGTGCAAAGGCTTCTTTATCCTTACTTCCTCTCGCATCAACGATGTATGTAATTGGTCGGCGACGGTGACGTCGTTTCTCCTCAGATGATAAATGACGGTGTTTCCCAATACCTGAAGAACGACACTCATAGGTTCTCGGGGGCTTGGGTGGGAATTCTGTTACACTTGGCAACGAAGCGATGGGGATATATTTGTAAGGGTAGAAGGAAGTGTGGAGAGGGTGTCCTGGGACGCGGAAGCTGTTTGTCCGTTGGATACGCGGGTTAAGAGGGCCTGTGCTAGGTGATTCGGGCCCTAGGCTCCAGTCATATGTGTCTTCATCATCAGGGATAGGGGGCTGGAAGTGTCTGTGATACTCTGATGAAGAGTCTGGGTCTGTATTGTGTTTTGTGGAGTGAGCGGCCCACCCTCGCGGTGGGAGGCAAGGGAAAGAAGAGATAAATAGCGAATTCTTGCTTAGCGGGAAGAGAACCTTGCGCGGTTTCGACTGGGGGGTGGCCTTGATAGTGAAAAAAGCGTGGGCGGTGGCTTTGAAAGGAAGAATTTTACTGGGATCATCTCGTTCGGACCTGGCAAGGGTGATATTATCAAACACCACACTCGTTTGATGAATATGACGCGAGTCTGCGTCTGAATCATCATCCATGGGCATGCAGAATTGCTCTGGTGTAAGCTCACCACCAGGTCCTAGTGGCGAGGAATCAAGCAGGACCTGTGTCGTCTTATAGATTCGTGGCACCGTTAGGCCACGCATGTCGTCTGTCAATTCGACTTCTATCCATTTGTCTGTATGGTTCTTGCCTTCCTCGTCCTGGGGGACAACAAGGCTTGAAACCCACCCCATACAAGTGGTAGAACCATCTAGACAACTGACAATTCTCGAGACAACACACTTCTTACTCCACCAGCTTCGGCCCCTATATATAAATCCGCCGTATAGGTTGGCTACCGGGCCGAGGGTTCTGAGAGCATGAGCGTCGTTCTCCAACAACGTCGACATGAGCAGGTCATTGATAGCTTCCCCCGGCAGAACAAATCCGCTTAGCCAGGAGCGAGATATCCATCCACCAAAACAGGTTGTTGAGGTTGAAGCTGCGTGATTTTGAGAGGGCGTAAGAAGCAGGATGAGATGAGAAGTGTTCGAGTTTTCATATGTTGATAGCCTCTTGCGAGTTAAGTCTTCCCCTGTCAACTCGTTGGTGACTAACGGCGTTGAAAGCGTTCGTATCATAGCAGCAGGGTCAGCTAAAACGGTATCATACTTCTTCTCCAACTGGCACTTTATCTTCTCTGCATCAGGCCACTGGATTACGGTCATGAACGCGAATAGACCGTCCAATTGCTTCTTAAAAAACCGGGGTCTCGTAACGCAATCCCATGTAATTTGGGCATCCACTGGTTGTTGGCCTCGCGCCTGTTGTGTCCGCTTTTCGTTAACTCTTCCACGTGTTAGGATCTGTCGAATCCGGGACGGTGGCCGTTCCAGTGGACGGTCAGGAGGCAGAACAGGTTCAAGCCGTCCACTTGTGGGGGCGTATTTGATTGTCAGGTTTTCAAAGGCACTCCGGCAGCAGATGATTGCCCAGTCGACTTGGTCATTCCTCATTTCATTGATATGGTATATGTCCTTCTGGGTAATTATTCCTTTCGGTCGACCCATAATCCCGACTTTAAGGGCAGCATCAAGCCGCAAAACTAATTCAGCAGCTAGAAGGATCTGAATCAAAAGCCAGTGTCTTTCGGCATTAATACTAATATCTGAACCTCCTGGATACTGGTCCTCGATAACTCCGTCATGGTGTGGTGGACATTCCCAAAGGATCTGGCCGGCACGGATTCTCCATTCTATCTGGGAAAAGTCAATCCAGGCATCCTTAACGGCGAGCACTCTGACGAGGGTATCAATTTGAGTCTTGATACTGGTAAGCTTGAATGCATCACCGTGCACTTGCTTGGGAAGAGGGTAAAGGAAAGTAGAAAATAAGGCCTGATGGAGCTTGGTTATGGATTCTATATCAAACAGATTGATTGGCTTAGCTTTGAACACCATTTGATCCCGCAAATCACACAGGGTTTCTAAGCGCTGAGCAACCTGTTTAGGTGAACAATCACGGACCCCAAGGCGCCTCCAGGCAGGTGGCCCCCCGCTGATCAGCTGTGCACGGCTAAAGCGGATACCTGGTCGACAACAGATATATGGCTCGTTATTACCTGTAGGAGTTGTGTTGAGTACATTGGTATTACTTTCTATGGGAGTGATGCCTGGTGGGGTATCAGACTTGTCCTTGAGCTTTGGGGAAATTGGAAGCTCCATATAATGACGAAAACCAACACAACCTCTCTCCTTGGCACGGGAGGAGAGCATGTTGGGCACTTCGAAAACGCCAATATCAAAGGCTGGATGTTTGTTTGTTTCCAACTCAGTCAAATCCGGGCTACCTCCGGGTATTTTCCTGCGCTCCAGAAATGCTGGGAGATGGGCATGCAGCGTGGATAGCGTAAAAGAGGCATGGTGCAACGGTTTCCTATCCTGAAGATTCTGAATGCGGGTGCTATCATCCCAGGGGAAGACAACATGTGGGAACCAATGGCATCGACTACCCTTCTCAAGCAAGAAATGAGGGGCGCCGGAAAATATAACTCGAAGCTCCTCTCCAGACAGAGGGGAGTTCTCTGGGTGGACGGTGCATCCTATATTCAAGCACCTGCGTGGGCTGGGTGTGGATGTAGTATCCTGAAGGGCGTCGCTTGCCTGGCATTCCGCCTTGGTCATAGGAGCGTGAGAGAAGATACGATCCCTGACGTTATCGACAAAGATCTCGGGGTAGCCTGGGACGTCTCCGTCGCGCTCTTTATGGGGGCGATCATGTTCCTAGTTCTGGTTAAACCTTTTGGACCACAGGAGAGAAGTGGAAGCACGGTAGGAAACGGCAGTAACAGTAACAAGAATCTAAGGAGGGTGAGATATCACAGGTTTATGATGGTGGCCACTGTATTCCTGGCCAGATAGTTTGTGTTTATGCTCAGTGGCATCAATTGCTTCCGTTGAGGCTGAACAATCCGTCCACTGCGAGGATTCGGAGTCTACAGATTCAGAATTGGAGGACTTCTGGCCGCCAAAGAGGGAGTGGCGCAAGCGAGATGTCCTGGACCTCCTTTTGCGTAATGGTAGCTGCCGCATATTGTAACGCTCGGGGCTTTGTGGATTATAGGCTATAGACTCAGTTGACTATGTCACAGGCAGGTGTGAGGTCAGACAGATATCAAGGACACCCATGGAGCTCAGCGGCGTTCTCGAAAGCAAATCTGGAAACAGGACGGAGTAACCATCAGTTTTAGGTAGACCAACTACGCACCCCTAGTCGCATCCGTGGTTAGCCCTATGATGTTATTGCGATGCCACTGCCATGGCCGGAGGTAAAACTTCTCTTCGCCACAGTTGGCTTTTAAATTAGCAGCCTCCGGAGCCTCTTCCTGCACAACACAACCACTTCGTATCCCGGTATCACCATCCATTCCTCGGTCTGCAGAGATTTTCCTCTTCGTCCGCTTCTTCTCTCTTCGTCCGCGCTGTCCTTCTTCTTCTGCTTTTCCATCTCCTGGTTCGTGTATGGAATCTGGCCAGCGAGAAAAAAAAAGAAAAAGAAGAAAAAGAAAAAGAAAGAGAAGAAGTCGAAGATTTCCCAGTTGGGGCGAGGCGGTGAAGACCGGCAACCGGGTCACGGGAGCGGCAATACAGTCCATTACACCGATACGCGCCAACGATCCCCTGGTTTGGCTGGTGTAACGTGACCTGAGTGGCGTAATTAATACATCGTGATACGAATGCCCCCTTTCGTGTATATCAAAAAGAACAAAAGATGCAGACAGGGAGTCAAGACAGGCAAAACAGACATTTGTCGACCAGGGAGATGGGGAAGGCCGGTGAGAAGAGGGCGACAAGGTCCCTGGGATGAGAGGTGCAACCGTCCGCGCGGATCTCGGGCATGTGCCGTTCTTTTCAGCGCAGGGATGAATCTCCCTTAATATATACTCATGCGTCCCTACGGATAGCTTCTCTATAAATACGGAACATAGTACATATTGGGAACGAAGCGGGCATGGAGGGTTGTACATCTCCCAGACAAAGATAACGCCTCAGAAGCCTGACGCCTGACGCCTTACGACTGACGAGTGACGGCGGCGACCGGCTTAGCGCTGGGATGGCCGCAGCCCCTGACCAAGTTAACTCCCAGCATGTATGTGCTCCATCCAACAAGGGGAGGACGACGCCAGCGAGAGAGTGACAACGCAGCATCTCGAAACTTCACGGGCGCCCCCTCCCCTTAAACTATTCATAGAAGTCAGAAACAATGGCCACCACCGCTGCAGGCATACCTTATACCTGCCTAGCTATATGTGAGTAAGCATGGCATGGGCATGGGCATGGGCATGGCGTGGGTTGCCCCATACTTACAAACGAGCGAGCTCACTAGTTGAGCTTCTCCGTACTCCGTAACTAGCTCAAGCAAGTCCGTAACTAAGTCACTCTTGCTTGCGCTGCTGGATGATACATTGAAGGGGAGCGCAGAATATGAGCTCCACCAGAACCAAGCAAAGCAAGCAACCCAACAGCGTCCTCCTCATGTGGTCGCTTGGATCGCCTTAGCCTCGCCTCTCTCTGCCATTTCTTCTGTGCTCTTCGGTCTCTGTCTCCTCTCTTCTGCCTGCCCCGGACAATCTCTGGAAAAAGGAGTTTTCTCGCCTTTTATAAAGCCCTTGCCTCGCCCGTTTTCCTCCCTCTCGCTCCCCTTTTTCCTCTTCCTCCTTATCTACCAACACCACACCACCAGCTACCGCTCTCCTGCTGCCTGTCAAGGTACCTGCAGACCTGCTCACGCACGCCCTCTCTCTTCCTCTCTCTCTCTCTCTTCCCTTATTCCCCTTCTGCCATCCCGTCCTCGACTCTCACCACTACACTGTAAGTCGTCTTCCTTGTCTTCCCCATCTTCCTCTTCTCCGTCTCCGTCCGAGTATCGGAGCGGCAATCTCTCTTACTCAGAAGCCTGATAGCCGGACCCAGAGGCTAACGCTCCATTCCAGTCATCAGTCATCAGTCATCACCCCATAACCGGTTTTACCGCACGAGCTACATTGCCCGTCAATCCTCCATAAAAAACACAATAAGACCGACCTCAAGCGTTCGCCTCCCTCTAATTCTGCAGTCTACACTCCTCAAAAGAGACATGGCCCCATCCAGAAAGCCACGTTGCCAGTTCAAGGCCTGCAAAGAGCTCGCTCAGCGTATAGTCGGTGACTGCGGCTTCTGCAAGGGCCAGTTCTGCAGCAAACACCGCATGTTGGAATCGCATAGCTGCAGCGGTCTGGAAGACTGCAAGAAGGAGTCACATGCCCGTAACGCTGAACGGCTGAACTCTGAGCGAACAACGGTCGTCAAGGGTGTATAGCGAGCCATGCCTTTTGTCCCCTTTTGTTGAGTCCGATTTTCAACATGCTTTATTATCATCACTACCCTGGGACCGGCGAGCTTGTTACTGGGGGGTGTCCGGGTCAGGAGGAGTCCTCTTCTTTTATTGATATTGTTGTTGGGACTTTGGAGGGTGGTGCTCCGGTGGGTTTTGGTCTTTGGGATGATATTCTTGGATATTGTTCTCCCTCCCCTTTTCCCTTCTGCCTGTCGGCTGGGAATTCCCCTTACATCTGTTTCCGTGCTGCTCTTTTAAGCTCTGCAGCGTACTGGCTTATATCCCGCCTTTTTTATTTACAGCCTGGGGCCTGGCTCGGTGTTTTTCATTCTGCTTCCCTTTTGGCTATCTTTGCATGGTGTTTGGTCTGGTTCATCATTTTCTCTCCCATTTAGCCTGTCTTATCTTTTTTGATGTTTTGTTCTGTTACTTTTGTGTTGAAAGACCATTGTTTGAGATATAAATGGGTATTTGGCTACCAAATAATATCAGATATTATAGACCCTATACTCTCCCCATACGTGTCCGTGCCAGTGTCTAGTAACTCTAGATCACACAAGAAAAGTAATATATCGTAGATGCATATTCAAATCCACAGACTTGAACTGAAGCGAAGACAAAGAAATACCAGGCAGGAAAAGCAATAACTCCAAGTGTTATCCTGGTCCAATTCTCGGCCTATGAAGCGATTCCATGTCAGCCTTGTAAAAACAATGATAACAGCAAAGTCAGTCAGAACTCACATGTCGTGGTGTTCACTCAGGTTGCTGAGGTACTTGTTCAACTCCTCCACCCGCTCTTTATGCGTCTTGACACCCTCTCGCTTCAGTCGTTCGTTGAGCTGTACACGGGACAAATCGTAAGCTTGGGCCTCCCATCGTGATAAGCAGGTAGGTAGACATACCCTCTTCCTCTTTGCCTCAGCATGTCTCCTCTCAGCTTCAGTCTTGCCGTCATCGCCCTCAAGAAGCTCACTGACACTCCGACTCCGTCTATCCTTTTCTTCCTTTGAGCTCGATGCTTCACCGACAGCTGCATCTGCTTTTTGCTCCTCTTCCTCCTCCTCCTTTCTCACATCAACGTCTCCCTCCTTATCCCTCTTCTTCTTTTTCTTCTTCTTATCCACACGGCCGTCTTGTACCTTGGAGCCCTTGATCTTCAGTCGGCCTCCTCCACTCACTGCATACTCGCTGAATGGTGCCATGGCTTGCGTCGACGGCGAGGGGAGGAGGGGTGGTACTGTGGTATAGCAGGCAGCACTTAACCAGGCTTGTTTCGCTGATCGCGCTGACTTGGCTATCGATTGGTCTGCATCTCTGGGCTCTTCTGTGCCGCTGACTTCAATTCGCTGGCTCTTCTTGCATCGCAAAGGAGGAAGAAATCATTTGGCTTCGACAGGGTTCAAGCTGCACGTGATTATGTAATATGGATATTACGTCATTCTGCAAAGGTACAAACATGTAGTCAGCTTCAGTAGAAGATTATTGTGTTTATTCAGTTACTTCAGGCGGATGAGACGTTGAATGTTCTTTTTTCATTACTTGTGTGGCTATATTTTAGCGCCTACTGGTTGGCTAGGCTGTCGGTAACATCACGACAATAGCCATATTTACATGAATCAATCAAATGGGATAGGCCGTAGCTCCGAACCCCCCTGTCGTTTCCTCATCTCTTCACCTGCAGCTGCGGCACTAGGCACCTTGATGCCGCAGCAGTCACCCCAAAAGTCGACGCCATTAGAAGACTTGTTGTTGTGAGAGTGGTCATGGCAAGGACCATTGCCGTGGCTGTGGTCATGTATCCCCTCCTGCGGCTCCCGAACGCCCATCTGCTCTGTTGCAGGAATCAAGCTTCCGAACAGGAAATGTTGCATGATAGGCAGTTTTCCTAGCACTTCCTTGGTAAACATTTTCTTCATGCCGGCTTCTACCTTGTACCAGTTCTTGGCACCGGAAATGTCATCTAGCATGGGACTATGCCACCGTAGGCCCTTTACGGTCTTAACGCTATCCACCCATTTCACTTGGTCAAGGTATATCCATTTTCCGCACTCTTCGTCGAGGACGACGTTATTGTGTATGGATAGCGGGGTTATGTAGCGATGGCCTGTCAATTGCGATGCGCCAAAGAGGAATGGGAGGAATTGGTAGTCATCCAGACCCCAGACACCATGGGACCCAGCTGGTTCGAGGTAGTATGTTAGCTGGATGCGGCGCATAAGCTCGATATAGCGAGTGAAGACACGGCAGACTAGAAGGGGGAAATCAGGGGTGTCAAGCATGCTGAGCTGGTACAAACACAGCAACCACATCATGAAGTTGAGCTCGTGGCCGGAGCCGTAGTCGAGACGGGAGCGCGAGCCCAGAGAGTTGACTAGGTATGTTGATATCTCGGCTATGACAGCCTCATCAGTAATGCCCAGGAGCTCTTTGTGCCATGATGCGCTATGAGACTCGACGTCGTCAAAAAGCGACCGGAACGCAGGGTTGCCGAAGCGAGACCCGCCCTGGTCAAGGGATGGGTGGGCATCGAGCAGCGAATCTATTGATGATAGTATCTCGATAATCTTGGATATTATGGGCGATGGTGGCGAGGCAGAACTCGGCTGATCGAGAACCTTTGGTATGGACTTCTGGTGCACGCTGTCCGACAGGTTGAACACAAAGGCTGTGACTAGGTTGTACGATGGCGACGAGAGGAAGGACTGGTGATCTTGAGCAGAGAGAATGCGAGGAACAGGGCGCGTATACTTCAGATCTTCTGTTGCAGGACGAGGGGGCATCGATGGGGTTGGTGGCGCCGAGTCGCCAGCGGCGGGCTGCCGTCGAGGGCCACCAGTTCGCTTTAGCTTCTTCGACAAGTCAATTTTGGGGATGGAAGCAGAGGCACGCGGCGGTGGTTCCTGGGTAGACGACGCCATGATGAATGACCTTCTGCTCGCGCGGCGTTTCAGCGTCTGCGTCTGCGTCTGCGTCTGCGTATTCTCGTTCTTCGTCCTGCTTCTTTTTTGCTTCTTTGCTTCTTCTGCGTTTTTGTCGTTTTTTGGTTTTTCAAGGTTGAACCCGTGACGGATGACGTAATCAAGTATAAATTTATGAGATCAGACAGATCGAGGATGCAGATGAAGAATGACAGACAGCTGGAGATGCGAAGACGAGGATGCTGCTGTACATTAAAGTACTCTGTAGATCAGTGTATCCAGGCGAAGATCAGGTTGTCGATGGAGTGCGATTCATTAGTATTATTCTGCATGGTAGGTGGAAGTGCCCTACTGATTGTCATCTAGCGCCAACATTAGAATAATCTATGTCGATACAGAACGGCGCTGTAGGGGGTTCAACCCCGGTAACTAGTTTAGATAGCTCATCATCTGTTGCTTGTAGAGGAGGCTGTCAGATGCAGAATTGAGCGAGTAGCCGGATAGAGCAGTCAATCGAGTTTCCATCTTCCCAAGAGTTGCGTAGAGGCATGCTCACATGAGGGAACTCTCTTCTAAAGCAGGCTGGAGATATATCCCTGCTGCCTAGGACGCTGTTGACTGTTGACTGCTGCAAGTCTCATGATCGAGCCAGGCGAGATTGCACGTACATATAACCGAAGAGGAGGAAACCGCCGTCAATGGGTCCAAAATGCCGAAGTATCTAGATTCTTCCTCAGCTCTGTCCTCGCCCGGACACCTATCATATCTTGGGACGGTTCGATGCCTGTATGATGGCTCCCCCTTGCACCTTGCACCCTGCACCACGGCGCGCCTGATCCAGTCAGCTCACAGGCCCATGTTTTTTCTCCTTCAGCCATCCATTCACTCATTTGCTCTGAGGGTTTCGCCGTCTGTCACCCGCAGGCAGCCCTGGATTGCGCCTCTGTCACACCCAGACCCATCCTGCCAGGCCTCTTGGGGACTAAATCCCCCCTCTCGAGCCCATTGTTACTCAGCCAGCCATGCGCATGTCCAATAACATGCAGCGCGCCGTCGCCACTAGTCAAGCGACTGTTGACCTATATCAGCTCGACTAAATCACCAACGGAAAACCCTGGTCGGTGGGCCCGTCCACGCAGACGGGAGGGTCAAAGAAGGCCAGAGAAAGAGAAGGTCTTAGCCTCGAGCGGTACTCACCGTTGATGATGTCGATATCGATGTTTTTTGTAGCTGTTGGCCGTCGTTGTGGTGGTGGTGTTCGGAAGGGTGAGGTTGGAGGATAAGAACCTCTTGTGAGACGGAGGTCAGCCAGGAACGCGCAAGACCATGACGACAAGGGAGAGGAGACAGACCAGTTGACTGTAAAGGAAGGGGAAGGGCAAAAGGGATAGGGACAGATGCACAGTTGATCGAATGCATGATCAGCGGCCAAGCCCATCGGCCGGAGTTTTTGGCCTTGCTGGGTGCTGCATCCCTGGACGAACCCTGGGCTTGGTCGTGGGAGAGCGAGCGAAGCTGTATATACAACACCACACATGCACTTCCGCCCGCCGCCGGCGCCGTCCTCTTCTTTTTTTCGCTATATATGCTTTTCGTGTCTTTTCGTGGCCCTTTTTTATCTTCGGCCTCGTTCTATTCTCGTCGTCTAGACAAAGGACGCCCCTCTCTTCACCGTTTCTTCCGCAGTCAGCCCACCAATTAGTGGTTGGTGGTAGCTCCAACCAGCACCGTCCCCCCCCGGCCTGAGAGAGCCAACCAACACGCAGTCCAAGAACCAACAGATAGCCGCAGAGGAATAGAAGCACGAAGAAGAAGCGAAGCGGAAGAAAGGCTAGGGCCTACAGAACCATGGCTAACTCGGCGACGGCGACGACGAGGTCGGGCTCACGACCTAACTATGGATCTTTCTCTTCACCTGCTGAGGCAGACTCGCATTCTGATTCCGGCTCGTCTACACTGTCCAGAGATTCTATGGAGTCTACACATACAGCTTCGAGGCCGCAGTTCAGCAGGATAAGAACGCACCAGTCGATAGTTCGTGAGCGCAGCCCGATGGACAATAGCGCGGATGGACAGGGTGCGCCAGGCGCTGGAGGCGCTACACCTGGTGCATCTGATAACACCCACAACAATAATGCGAATGGGAGCAACATCGTCAATGGTGGCACTATACCCCGGCAGAGAGGTGCCTCTTACTCGTCCCAGCGGTCTAGAAAAGGAAGCATACACCAGGATCAGCCGTCGTGGTACAGACGCATACTTGAGAAGTATGGCAGCTTGGAGCTGGAAAACAAAGGCAGCGTTGCCAGAGACCATCTTGCCTTGGGTATGTGACTATCTTTTCTATCAGAACTATCTTTGTTCTAGAAGTATGGAAGCTAATGACTGGTAGAACGCACATTTCTCTCATGGCTACGGACGTCCCTCGCCTTCGCCTCCATAGGGATAGCAGTTACTCAGCTTTTCCGTCTCAACACCGCTATTCAGCAGCTAGATCCCTCGCAGAACAGTCCCAGCAATCCGTCTGCTCTCCTATCAGAACATTACAGAGAAACGTCTAAAGGTCTCTACTTCACCATTACAAGCAACAGCAGCCAACTGCGTGGTCTCGGAAAACCGCTAGGCGCCACTTTTATCGGGGTAGCTATCCTCGTTCTCTTCATCGGCTTCCACCGCTATTTTGAGAGTCAGTACTGGGTGGTCAGAGGGAAATTCCCTGCCAGCCGCGGCAGTATAGCCCTGACTGCATTTATTACTGCGTCTCTCATGGTCAGCAGTTTGGTCATCATTCTTACTATATCGCCGGGTGCGACCGAGTCCTAGACGCATTCACTCTCATACTCCAAAACTAACAACCTTACATTCAACACAAAACGGCGTCGTTTTTATACTCAGTTACATGCATTTATGCGGAGTTCATCGAATTCATCTTCCCTCCTACGCCTTGCTGGATATTTGGGAACAGCAATGAAGGACACCGTCACATCATATCCTGATCTTGTCATCCATTAAATTATCTGGATCCCCGAAAAGCACAAACAAAAATTGCCAGCTTTGCTTATCTGGTCATCTGTCTGTTTCGGTGTTTTGTTAGCGAGGCGTCTGGCTTTGAACTTCTTTCGCTTATTTTTTGCTTCTTTTACCCTGCATTGTACATCTACTTCTTGTTCTTGCTTTTCACTCCGTTATGTTCTTCTTCGAATACCCCGCCTATCACCGGCTTTGGTTCACTCTTTTTCTCGTTCTTGTCTCCATCTGTTGACTTGTTCATTTTTCAAAAAACATCTTTCTTTTTCGTCCAATTTTCTCCCCTTCGGATATTACTCCGAGTGTCTTGATTCACATTTCGTATTATCAAAATTCCTCTGTAGCCATCCAGGAACTCGCCTTGTTAAAATAAACGCAACTTAACAAATGCAACCAAGTTTTTGGTTAACTGTATCTTCAATCTGTCAGGCCTATCCATGCCTCTTAGGATGAGCCAACCAATAATAGCTTCTGGCTCAAATATCATTCCTGCATATCGATACGAAAACGTAGATGGATCAATGTGGAGCGATGAATGGCTGGCTCGCCCACGAAAATGCTTGGTATTTCTTAATTCATCCCGAGGCATCTACCGAGATTGTATATCTAGATGTTCATCCATCTATGCATAATGAATCCAGAGGTGGTAGTTGGTTAATGCGGTGGGTAGATACATTCAGGCCGGGGTCTGCCACGTTTCCTTCCGATAAATTCATCCTTCAACTCCATCTTAATTCATTTATAGCCATCGCGAATTTATCTCTCTGGGAGTATTTCGGCAACGGCAGGCTGGATGACGATGACGGGAAAGAGTTGCAAAAGAGGATTCAATCATATCAATTGCAAGGGAATACCATATGCTCCTTTTTGAAGCGGAATCTACCCATACACCAACATAACTCATTTAGCCAATGAGAGACAGCATGGTATTGAGTCTGCTATACTTAAACCGCCAGAAGGCCGAAGATCATACGATGGCCTGAAAGGACATCGAGTCAACAATGGAGACCGTTGCACTGCATCTGGATATCTCCACCTAGTAGTCCATATAGTACAGGATACCGGTCAAAAACACACTCCGTAACGTGCTTCGCTGTACCAACTCTCCTCAAGGCCTAACGCTGTATGCCCATCCTTAGGCATCAAGGGTATCACAAGGAACAATAGTCCAGGCCAACGACAAGTTCATCGCACATCTCTCTGCAGAAGATATTCGCGCCTTCATCCTCTGCTTGTCTAGGATGGGTATGTTATGTGGATTGAACTGCTGCACAGTGCATCAAGAACTGGAGGCGGTGTGCTGAGGAACGGTCACCGCTATCGTGGAGGATAATCATGTCGAACTGTTGAGGTTTGACAGTTAGCAATGGTATGCAGGTATCAAGGTATGTAGGTATCAAAAAAAGTGATATGCATAGAATTCACCCATTCTATCCAATACCAATATCTTTTTTTGCAAAGAACAATGCCTTTGTAGTCGCGATCTTTGTTTCTTTCCTCTCAGTCCCATATATCGCCATGATGACATAATATATGACATATATCATGACATAAGCCATGTCTTACTAAGCCATTATCACATGACCACTGCTTAGTAATAAGTTAAAATGTGAGATTGAGTTTGTATCAAAATAAGTGCAAAACGCGTTTCTCAAGCCGCACATTTTCTTGTTGGCTCAATGGACTAATTTCGAGGTACCTTGGAGATTGGCTTGATGAGAAGTGTAGGATGAAACATGGCGTCCTGACGAATGTCCAAACATGGGGGAACCTTTTGTCGTTTCCGTGGAGATCACCAGCAACGGTTGGTGAAGGAGTGGATTCAACGTCCCCACCTTTATCAAAAGGTTCTCTACATCAAACCGGGCTACGCAACGTTAGGACGTCCAACTGCCCACGATGGAGTCGGCGGGTATATTCGGCGGCTGCCTTAATTTTTGACGAGCTAGTTCAGAAGCTGCTAGTACGTGGTCGATAACGCTGTTATCGCCAGAAAGCCCTTCATAATCCCGCAAGTGTCCCGCAGGCAGTATTGGGCAATAGATCTTGAGTATGCGTTTGGGGGTATCTCAAGGTGTCGTGTGCGGATACCAAGCGAAGATATCTCCCGAAGCGAGGAGGCAAAACGATAACGATCGCGAGCATGGATTTATACGAGATTGATATTCGATGACATGAAGAGAGGAAAGCCGGAAAAAGCATAGTTGGGGTAAGTAAGCAAACTAACTAGAAAAGCAAGTTTTAGTGCTCCAGCGTTCAGTTCATTCCAGTCCAGTTCGTTCGCCCCGAGAATTCGTTTAACGCTGCCTGGTTCCGGTTTGCTTCACTAACCTTACGAACAGGTCATCTGTCCAATTCAATCCCGATAAACTTTCGTATAGGAGGAAACGATGGGGCGGCACGCCAGTTCGAGAGCTTGCCTTATCTTGAGTAGGAGTCGAGAAAAGAAAAGAAAAATGTGATGGATCAAAGTTGGCAGTGTTGACTAAGTGAGCATGGCAATGAGAGAAGAAACTGGGTAGTACGTGACGGCGGGAGTGGCGAGCCATGGATGAGATGAAAGGTTCCGCCGCCGTTTTTGGGATTGGGTTCTGTCTGATCGAACTCTGAAATCTGCGTTTCCTTGTTTCGTTGTTCTCGAAGAATCAACGGAATTGGCGAAGATATGCTCCGTCTGGAAGGGGAGGGGAAAAGGGCGGTTGTGTTGATCAGATAGGCCTGGCACGGATGTAACATGTAGCCCGTACTCTTTTTACCCTTCTCTCCATGACCCAGCAGGCGGCTGAGACGGCGGGTGACGGATAGCCCTGTTCATCTCCATGGCGATCGATGCCGACGGCGAGGGATCAGGGTTGGTAGAGAGGTGAGAAGAACTGCTGAGCGGCAGTTGATCAAGAAGAATGAAGACGCATTGACGGCCAGGGATGCAATGTCTGAAGTAAGTAAGTAGTTACGAAGTTGTTGATACTGATACTCGGCACATCAGCGCGGTGATACAGAGCAGAGCACAGCACGAACACAGCACAGCACAGTACGGGGGACAAGGTGTAAAGAAAACTGCCCTGCAGAAAGGAACAGTTTGTTCTTCACGGCAACCCTGCAGGCACAAGACAGCAGACAAGCAAGTACTACCGGCTTTTCCAACTGCTGTGTTTCCTTCGTTGAACAACAGCGAAGGGAGAAGAAAAGGGAGAAAGAAAGGAAGAAAGAGAAAAGGGGGATGGGTCCAATAAGACATTGTAATGTTGGACATGTCCTTCGCTCGGGATGCTGTCGCTTGATCTGATCTTCTCTGGGGAATTGGGAACTGGAGAAACCGTTGAAATTTCCCATGCCCATATGTAACCTGCGCTATCTTAACGAGCTACATATATGCAGTGCTATAAGCCAGGTTCGTTATGGATTCTCCTTCTTCCCTATTTCCAGCCAGCGTGATGCCGTGGAAGTTGGGGTTGGTTGGCAATGAATTGAGACGACAAAAGACTACCTTTTTTTGCCTTTCTTGCCCCTTAAAGGACGACCCATGTATCCCCTAGGCGTTGGCGTCCAGGTACGCCCGTCCGCCGCCGCTTAGGGTCGTAAATACAGAAGTACTGTACTTACTAAGTCATCACCCATGCCCTGCCGGTTCCCTGTCGTCGGTCAGCACCAAACGAGATGAAGAAAACACCTCCATGTGCGGTGGGTTCAAATTAACTAGCTTGTTAGCTAGTTAGTAATGCGGATTCAAAAGGCGTATCGTATACATCTTTATGCGTGCATTATTCCGAGAGAATAGTCGCTCGTATTTGGAAGAAAATAAAGAGATGGAAAACAAAGCACCAGGAGATGCATGGAAGAGAGGGAAGGGAAAGATTGGTGATAGGTGGCATGCAGTTTGCTGTACATTGGCAGGTCACTCAAAGAGTTGTACATGCATGAAGGAACCCATCCATGCCCTTGGCCCCATGCCTGGAATACCCCATGCATGCACAGCATAGGACGGCTAACTGGGTGAGTAACTGAGGATGCCTGTTCCTAGTCTAGCCATATAAGCTAGTTGAACCGTCGACTGGCGCTGCCAGGCCAGGCGTGGGCGAGGATCTGGCTCTCCTGACGTCTGTGGGACGGCTTTTCTTCAGGAAGATCGCAACCTTGAAGGCCCCCCGTCTAGTTCACTTCAGTATTGTACAGTACTTTTGGCTGTCCCAGGAGAGTGATTATCGGCAGACGGATGGCTCTTCCGGCAACCAGGATAACGATCTAAACCGCTTTGATAAGGGTAAGCGGAAGAGGAGAGAGGTCTGGTCTTGTTAGATTGCATCGTGCAGACTTCGAGGTCAGACAGGGTGGCGACGGGATAAAGAAGATCAAGGAGAAAAGGGGAGTAAAGTCGAAGGAGTGCTCTGGAGTAAGGCAGCCATCAAGCTACCCACACGTCTCAGGGGGCAAAGTTGGACAGGCAGTGCCGTCGAGCTGGTTAGTAACGAGTGTCACGGAGGTATCTTTCACTGATCTAACCAGTCAGAGAGTCAATCAATCAGTCAGTCAATAAATCAAGCAGAGTAACTAAGTTGAGTTGCTAAATAAGTAAATCTGCGAGATGAAGGTTCGAAGTAGCGATTATTACACATAAAAAAGGCACAGGCAGGCTCGCCCTCCCAGCCACATTAATATTAGTTACACACAGACATGCATGATGCTGTGTTGCGATTTCATGCATGGTAACGCTGCAATGGTTGATTCGATACATAATAACTGTGGTCTGGCTAGCCAACCTAACTTTGTTCGCTGGAGTCAAATACATCAGAAAGCAATTTTAATATTATGGTCAAGTATATTCACTACGCTGTGTACCTGTGTGACGCGAGCTATAAGACGAGTGGACTATACGGAGCACGGTAACGGTTGGACTGTGAGAGCTCAGCGATAGGCGGTGCTACTGACTGGCTGGTTGGCTCAGGGGAGGATCAAGAAGGGAAAAACCGGGACAAGAGCTTGGATGATCGACTCGATATGTTAGAAACCGATCGGCCGTTGGTTATAACTGCCATCTCTATAGCCTGGATGGTGCTTGACGGGGAGCACTGGGCCATGCAACCCGGTGTCTGTCTGGATGTCTGGATGTCTGCCCAAGCCAGCCGCTGCGTTGTCAGGGATATCTAGCATCTACCCGTCCGTCTGTCTGTTTCTGACTGCCCGTCCACCAATCTCAGGATTGCCCTTTGACTGGGCTTGTCTCGACTGGCAATGCCGGAACCAGCTGCTATTCGTCCGCCAGTCCGCATCACATCAAAATTAATTACTTTTAAACTAACTAGCAGTTACATATTTTTCCGATGGGGTGGCCCTGAAATCTGAGGCTGAGAACGTAAAAAGAGTGTAGGAGGGATGTTTCAAACTGGCTACCTGCGATTACTGGCCAGTCTGGCTGGCTGGCTGGCTGGCTTGCTGGCTGGCTGGTGTCTGGATAGGGCTGAGGGCTGACGATGGCCAGGAAAAGAAAAACAGAGACTATCTGGCCTGGAAATGAGACAATGCGAAGGAAGAGGGAAGAGGCAAGCGGTGCCAGTGGCTGAGATGACGACGACGCCGGGTTGTTTACTCATTTTATTATTTTGTTATTATTGAGATGCTGTGCTGGCATCTTTCTTCTCATCTCATTTCAGGTCGAGAGGAGGCGCTTTGGGGAGATGATTCGCGGACATTGGATGATTGCGGTGGAGACGGGATGGAAGATGATATACGGAGTACTCCGTACGGGCTCTCATTTACCAGCTGGCGGAAGGAGTTGGAATAACAGCAGAGCAGGAAGAGATGAATGCTGCCGCCCAAGCCGATATCAAATGGCTAGCAATACTCCCATAATAAGTATGAAGAAGCCGGGCTGAACAGGTGGCTAGCTATGGGGTATATCTGAGATATCTTAAGTATATGCTCTAATATTTCCTTATTTTAATAATAATTAATTATGATGAGTATAGGAGTTTCTTTTTCCGCTCGATATCACCAGACGCCAGTGCAGCACAGCACAGCATCAAGACGCCCCAAAAGGGTAAAAAAGGGGGTCAAGATCAAGGTCAGGCCGGGACCAGGGGGGTTGGACTCCACCGGCCAGCGCTACAGTGTTAAGTCTGCTACTGCAGGTCTGCAGGTCAGTCTGGAAGTCGCACGCTGCTCGTTCTTCCCTGCATGCAACCTACATACACACTACTGCAGCACCCTCTCTCTGCATGCGCAGGCCCTCCGTAGCAGCGAGGGAAGAAACAATGAGAGAATTGCTTTTTGGCACGGAGGCCCCCCCATCCTATCCCATCTACCCCCCCCTCCCCCAATTCTCCATTCCCATGCAGGCGAAATACGACGGGTAAGTCAGTCACTAAAGCAACTAACTCAAGAGGCGTGCAGTGAGTTTGGTTAGGGTGGCTGGGGGGGGGTGGTCGAGGTACCGCCTCTATACTTACTAGGAGGGTTTAAAGTACAGGACGAGAAAAGGGACTATGACGATGCCGTGGAGACGGTCGCTGCGGACAGATCATGAGACAGAGGCCTTTTTTTCTTTTGTTCTTTTTGCCTTTTGTATCTGTATGTACTCTGTAACTGGAGCAGGATGGATGTACTTGGAAGAGCGAGACAGGAGAGCAAAGAGAATGCAGGTATCCGTCCATCCCTGAGCGGCGTCAGGCGAGAGAAGGCCCCATGGACGAGTCGAGAGAGTGCTCGGGCGCATGACAGCAGCAGCTAACGCTCTCTTTACTTCTGCCAGCACTGCAGCTCTCGTCGTTGACTCCAGGATCAGGCTGGGATGCTGGGATGCCGGGATGCGGCCAGGGCCTCTTGACA